TAAACACTTGTAGATCTGGTCTCAAAACACACTTGGTGGTGAACGGATTTACTAGAAAAAAACCTGTGCAGTTTAGTGACAAAATTCAATTGGAACATGTGGGGGTTGATTTTATGCAAGGACATCTCAGAATATCTGGTGGTTTAGAACACACCTCCGCACCTTTTACAGAATTAACCAGATCTTAGCTGTTTCTTTTTGTCTGATGTATATAAAATTTCCAAAAATAAACACCAGTGAAGGTAATTATACCCTCAAGAATCTTGGATACAAAATATCATTACGCCTTAATAACAGCCTATAAAAGTTTAATGGATGGTTTTGGAGCCGTAAAAGTGATTAGTTTGAAAGATTAACATCAGCAACCATCCATGTAGTTGTACAACCCTCATCAAAATAAATTTTATATAAAATGTTACTTCTGAAAGGGAAGAGATGTTGACAAGTAATGAGATTAGTCTTACTGCCAGTTGACAGGTGAAGGAAAATAAGTAAGCTCATTTGGTAAGCAGGCGAAGTGTTTTCGGCTCTGTCAATTTTGTAGGGGAGCTAATTAGCGATCCATGGACAAAACCATGGGATTGTGAAGATCCTCTGGCAGGAACACTAGTGTGACAGGAAATTAAATATCCTCCCCTTCCCTCAATTCGGTACGAAAATCACAAAAAAAACGCACTTTACTATTAATGCTCAAGACAAGCTAATATGTGGAACTTCGGTGATGCAGACCCACACTCTACATCTAATCGTTAGGCTAGAAGTCGTTTCTGCAAGCCACGAATACTTTATCCTGTAGGGCAGAAAAGCGAGGATTATGTGTACTTCAGAACCTGCGGTTGTGGAATGTCTCTGTAAGGTCGTAAGTGAGGAAAGAGGTCTGCAAAACAACTCATTAGCTACCTGAGTGAAATAGGAATTCTAAACTTAAAATTCATGCAAATATGAAAGAGAGCACCACCATGTGGTACAAAAGAATGGGTATTCCCGACCCACATATTGTGGAGCAGTCCAGACACCACTATCTAAGGCGGCAGGGTAGAGAGACAATAAAAGCTGCAGGTATTCAAGGTCTCCAAGAAGTCCGGTTGTAGGACGCTCAGCTACACAACAGGCAAGTATTTGTGCTTTGTAAAAGAGTAAAAGCAAGTGTACATCTGCACGGTAGTAGCGATTTCCGAGCCGTTGTCCCCATTCTCAGCCCGCCCACCGCAGCGGTCAGTTTGGTAAACATTCAGCATGTGGAAGACTCGATCATGGATAATCGGCGCATAAACAACAGCAAACTTGTACAATTTTGCTAGCGATACAAAAGCAACCAGGTTTGATGAGCGCAAAACAGTCAATGTACCGATAGGTAGCCGTATCAGGGGAAGACATCGGAAATTTACTTGCCTAGTTCACTACTTGTGAAGCATTCTCCTCTTGCATAAATTAAAATTGCATATTGTGAATCCCATTACCCCACTCCTCCTTACTCTCCCCTCTCCTCTCCTTCCCGCAAGCTTCTACTTGTTATATTCTCTGTCCGCACCCGAGGATATGACAAATCCAATAGTTAAGCTGTGAGATTAATGGCAAGCAGTGGTTCTACTCATATGGATAGAGGTAATTTAATGCTGATAATTATGACAAGCTGGAAGCACTCTTGTAGATGCAAAAATCAGCTTAGCTGAAATGATGGATTATAGAACGCGGCGGCAATTAACCTGATTGGCCAGAAGGCTGGTGACGTTGGGCCAATCATTGAAGGAGATGAGATCATTGCTCGTGTGCATGACATCTTCACTGGCTTTACGATGCACAGGTGAGCCCCCGCTACAGTTGTCCGATGCCGTTGAGTTGACAGGACAGGATGCAAGAGATGGGAGAGAGTGACTTGCCGTCCGTGAATTGTTGATCGACGAATTCGTTTTCTTCAACGAATTCTGGCATGACAAATGAAAAAAGAAGGTAAGTAGAAGGTAGGTAGCATTGAGGAGAGAAATGTACCACTTACCGGAGAGCCTTCCAAGGATTCGCTGGAGATTGAAGCAGAATCTGAAATCCACGCAAAATGCATGTGAATGAATCTAAAGCTCTAAAATGGAAAATGGGAGGGACAAGGGATCAAACTGTCCCCTTTGTCATGCGGAAGGGAGCAAAGGCTAGATTACAAAAGGAAGACGTTGTACTTAGTGCAAATGGAACGCACATTCCTTACAAGAGGTGCCTTCTGTTCAGATTTGGGTGCACTCTTGAAATGCTTTCGAAAAATTTAATCGCAGCCAAAAAACCAACTACGATTAGAAGATGATGGACTAAACATTTGGTTGAACTTATCATTACTCCCAATATTTGGAACTTGCTGTGCATTCCTACCTTCAAATACCCATTCGTTTGGCCAAGTAGGTAGGAGAACTTTATAATGTGAGGTGTTGGGTCCATCTTTTTAAAAAATTTTCTACGATCAAGAAAATACATCACAATTCTTCAAAAAAAAAAAGATTGAGCAAAGGTCCTTCAACTCAATTACGCCATCAGTCTCTCCCCATACAGTGCATTTGGGTAGTTATTCCCTGTCGTCCTAATTGCTTGACACTTTAGTGGGATACAGGAAAAGCTACACCTAGTCTCAATCGTGGAGTTCTTCCTCTCCTTCCCCACATGAGGTGGGGTTTTGCAAGCACCTTAAGTGCTGCATTGATACAGGCGACAGAGAGAAGTCAAAGCAGGTGCTTTTGAAATCACGTGCTCCGCTAGTTTAGAGAGGTGTGTTAACTTGAAGACTCCCTTCCTCTACCCTACCTCTTTTTTACCGTGTCAGAGAGGAAAGCGTTGCGTGATTTTTTTTTCTCCCCTCATCCCATTCGCTTTGCTATCATAGGAGCATCAAGTGGCAAGACTACGATAGTGAAGGAAAGGTGGGTGGAAAATGAAGCAAAGGTCGAGGGAAATGGCACAAGGGATGTAGCATCACGATGGAAAGGTGAATTGAAATTTTCATCAGCCTCAGCATAAATCAGTGGTAGTTTAGTAGGATTGTTGTGTAGGAGAGGTTTGAAGTCACCAAAGTGAAAAATTCTCTGCCCATCTTTGACGAGATGAGCCACCTTCAGAGTAGTGTGGCAAGAATTTGGGTGTGGATCATTGAAAAGGGAGGAGGAATATTATGAAGGACGATATTTTTGCTTTAAAGCCTCTTGTGTCGCACTCGACCTCCTCTTCTCATTGCCAAGTTCAATTATTGCAAAAGAATGAGCGCATCATCTCAACGAAGAGTGCACTCCATCCTTAATATGAACGTCAAGACGCCAAAAGCCCTGGCAGACGACAAAATTTCCAGCTTACTTAAAAGTCTTGTCACAGGCAAGAGGCCCACACCTCGATGGTGGTGACAGCTCATTGTTGATGACCCTTGGCGATCCACTCATGAATTTGGTAAACTCTTGATCGCGCATCAATTGCATCATGATGCTGGAGTACATTTGAAGAAGTGTAGACGATGTGGTATTCACCTCTCTAAAACCTCGACTTTTAAATGCAATCCAAGACGCTGGTACTTGACAAAGTTTACAGTTAATACACTGTCCAGAGAAGCGTAGAGCAAAGTAGTAGGATAAGGGGAGTGGAACACTTCGATAAACAATTAAAACAAAGGCCCACCTCCATGCACAGGAGGAGTGAAATGTGCTACCATGAGAATGTGTTTGATCCTTCACAGTCTACAAAGCACCATTTGTGGTATGTTCGTAATGCACAGTTTGCTCCATTGTTGCCCCTTTTGACTGTGATGAGCCTCAGTCAGTCCTTGAAGGCGTCCTGCACACAGCTTTTCCAACAGCCACTAAGTACCAGCGTCTATTCATACACAGAAAAGACGTCTGTGCGTAGTGGCAATTTCTTGCACATCTTCATGTGTTAAAGGGTGCTTCTCCACAAGGCAGAATGTGCGTTTTGTTGATGACGCCGCCAAATGCGTGAAAACCGCTTTGGACTAATTTTAGCACCTAAGAAATAGAACTGCTAACTGTCATAGCGTGGCATCAGCAGTATGTACGTTCTGGTGGATTAAAGTTTCCCCACCATAAAAGGAAAGGTAGATTTTTGTGTTGGATTAAGCCGTTTCAGAGTGTTGTCGTGGTGTCAAAGGCGCCGGAAAAGGGGATCTGTCATAATCGGAGCTAGGTGAATTGAAGAGTTAAAATTTTCACCACCCAATTGTAGCCTTAAATTGGTGAGTTTGAAAGCCTGTCTCGAGCTTTAAAATAAGCAGGATTTTAGGCAGTTTGTTTGGGTTAAAACAACAAAAGAGGAGACTAAGAAATGGGAAATTTTACTTTTTCCAGGAATCGTCAAGAGCCAATAACACATGCCTACCCTGTTTTGTTCGAATGAAGTCGGGAGCGGCGACAACTTTGCGAAGTTTGCAGAGCAAACCGTCCTGTCGAAAGTGGTAATGGTCGATCATCTAAAGGGTGAAGCAGTTGTGATAAGTCTGCCTAATGTTAGTTCCTCTAAACAACTTATTCCTATTTGGAAGTCCTCGGATCCCACACACACACACACACAAACACACACAGAAAGGCAATTACTTATTTCCCACCGCTGCCGCCAGTAAGGAGGGAAGTTAATCAACTGATTGCATTCTTTTGCTTACACACCATTAAGAAAATTATTGTTACTTGACAGGGTCAAACACGAAGACTCAAACGTTCATGAGTGTGTGAGCACCCACGTGTTAACACTCGCAGGGAGGCCGACTTGAACAGGCGAAATTTTAAGGCAACAAAATACGAAATGCTTGTAAATAGGCGTCAACGGAAGTGGTGGACAAAACGCTGTGATGGTGGGTGGATAGTGGAGTAGAAAATGCTGAATTCTTTTCTCACCCCCGATCGGTGTGTACGGATCGGAGCGAGTTCAAACACTAACCAATTTTCATGGTGTAAAATTTTCGTTGTGGTGGTTGTTTAAATCCGTTAACTTGTCAGAGCCTTGCCACGGAGGCCCTATCGTCACCAACAACGGTTGCTCTAGCGTGTGAAAAACACACTGAATCCGCTCAAGGTCTGTGAGACCGCTGTAAGAGTGGATATTTCCATGACATTCCGTGCAATCAATGCATACCGCAAGAGAAAATCCAAGCAGTCACGAGACTAAGCATTTCTTATCAGCTTTCGAGGTCTCCTTTTGAAATTAATTCTTTCAGTCTCACCACAAAGAGATTACCTCGAAGTGTGGAAAGTCTAACTCAAGTCGGGAAGCCACCATGAGGTCATTCCGACCCGTAGGTCGGTATTTTCTTGAAGCCCTTCGCTTTGATTACACAGAAGCTTAGAGCTCTGACTTGGCACTTCCACGTGGCAGCACAGCCCTCAAAGCCTGCCAGCATCCTCTGGTCCTTCTGTGCATCAAAGTACAC